GCTTTTAGGGGCAAATCGGTTCATAAAGAAAAACAAATAATTTCCCGTGGAAACTTTTGCTTGAATCGTGTAAGAAAACGTGTTTGAAAACTATTTGTTATTATTTCGGTATGGATCGGAGATGTTTTCATGGCAAATTATGCATAACAAGTTTGTACCCACAGGGAGACGTTACCTCCTGCGCAGCCTAGGGGCATCCCACTTTAATACCCCGTTCACATTACAGCCTATATTACGTAATATAGGCTGTCTTGCAATGAGCACTCATACATAGGATTTCCAGTGAAAACTAGATGCATGAGTGCTCATTGCAAGACAGCCTATATCACCTGATATACGCTGTAATGTGAATGGGGTATAAACTTCATACCTAATATCAATAAAATATTTGTAAATCCCGCGTAAGTATTCTTAAGTATTTTTAAGTATTTTAAACCATGGCTACTAATTTACATCAAAGTAACACTTATTGTTTGATGACCGGTTGCTAGTGCAGGTGTTTGTTGTTGTCGGTCGTCTTGTATTTATACAAATAGGAGTGTTAAGTATTTTTATTATGTGTATAAATTAGTATTATTTAATTTATATTTTTCAGCGATTCAGCTTGTAAAAATGCTTCGAGAGCTGATTACAAAGAATAATGTTTTCAGTACAAGTTTAACAGTGTTACTGAATCGACTGAACTCACAGTGTGTATTGGCTCACATATACCCTTTCGGTGCACAAAGATCCTGCGATGATGAGTATTGGTATATTCAGATATAAACGTGCATTAGCTGACTGGAGCAAAATTTGCGATGGTTTTGCTTCTAGCAAACCCCACACGCATCAATATATTGACGCGAAGGGGAATTATTGACAATAATATTGATGATGTGAATTCAGAAATATTGTCAATCTCGATGTATTGACGTCAATATATATTGTATTGACAATACGACTATCTCTCTATCTCTCTCTCTCTCTCTCTCACGTACCTTCGCAAAATCTCGCCTCGCGCGTGAAACATCGCTCAGGACGGAATTCACCTTATTCCTAAACATGTTAATTACCGTTGACCTATCTAGCAGCGAATCATCTGACTACAATTTTGTTTTTGCAGTATCGAGGAACTGAAGCCGTGGAAACATGTTGCAGGCCTGAGCAAATGCAGGAAGAAAAGTTTGTCGATCAGCCGGGTGTTGAATGGGAATAATCGTGATTCGTTTCTGACCGGAAGCTTTTGGCCCTTTTGACTCTGCAATTATAATATCACATTGAACACAACGTTTTACTTGTTTTAAATAATTATACGTAGGAAAACAACCCTAATAAAAAATAACCATAAACGAACGATAACCCAAATCATTGAACTATTCCACAAATGGTTTGGATGATACCCAGAACACGTCGTTAAGCAAATTAACCATACAATTTTTATTAGGGAACGAAAACTCAATCCGTTTCTGTTCAAGGGACTGTTCATAAACTACGTAGACAGTTTTTTGGGATTCTTGACCCTCCCACCTCTCCCTGCGTAGACAATTTTCCATACAAAATTTTTAAAATTTGTATGGGCCGTGGATAATTGTCAACCCCCCTCCCCTAAACTGTCTACGTAGTTTATGAACAGCCCCTAAATAATTCTGACAAAGTTGCTTGTACTGTGTCTAGTGGCCTTTATGGTTTATTATCTACTGTAATAAACATGTTCTGCGTTTAAAAGGTGGAAAACTAAGAGATCTGCATGTCTGCAATACGCCCATATTCTCGTTTAAAATACTGTCCGGACGTAAACGAGAATATGGGTGATAGTATAGTCACATGATTTCGTGCATCCAATGCATCCTTGATTATACAAACGATGGAACTCGAACGAGTAACAACAAAATGTTCCATGCCTATCATAATTAATTCTTTCTGGTGAACAGATTACATCGAAAATGGTCCGGGCCACCTGTAGCTGTTCACGCTCCTAATCAAATGAATGTTAATTGTTTAACAAATCATCCAATATCCACCCAAAACGCCTGACATTGGATAAACAAGCAAATTAAATTGACATAGCAACCAAGAAAGTAAACTAACGCTAGATATTTCTTAAGTATTTTTAAGTATTTTTGGGTAACTTAGATACCACTAAGATATACATATTAGGAAAAATACAAAGTTTAGAGTGGGATGCCCCTAGTGCGCAGCTGTATTTTTCAGAAAATGGTAAATATGTGTGGTTTTCACTAAGATGAAAGTGGAAATTAATTGAATTTACTTAGGAAAGGTTGTATCATACTGGTGGTAATAGAAAATTGGTTGTATAGGACGACAATATTCAATAAATGTTCATTTTCGCCTTTTTTACGCAAACATATTGATACTCACAATTTTCGACGGAAAACGCACCGAAACTTGATTTACTCAACACGCACCATACTATAAAGTGGTGCTAGATGGTCTGCAAAGTGATAACAAGAAACCAAATCATCTTTATTTTGAGTAATTGAGCAATTTACTTCTGTTTACCATCATATTTACGATGCAGCATTGATGGAGCCGTGTAATGAAATGAATATATCTTATGAAAGTTCACCTGAAAAAGTCAAAGATGCACATCAGTCTGCTCGTAAAAACGTTTTCTTCTTCAATTAATTATATGATTTGAGTAGTAGCTATAGTGAAGATCCGAGAGATGTCGCCCCTTTAGTGGTAGGAAAATCTTTTTTGCAGTATGGAGAATATCAGAAAATCCACGATTTGTGACTAAACATGCTTTCACAGAAGGAAACAAATAAACGAGTGTTTACCTTATCACCATAGTAATGTACTCGTGCAATTGTTGTGCACCTTAAACCGCCCATAAAGACGATAATGAATAAAAACTGAAAATTTTCATGCATTTCCAAATGGTTTAAACCTACCATTCCCATACATTCGAAGTGACTAGCCCTCTGGATGTGGATGATGTCAAAAACAACAAAACATGATTAATTTGAATGTTTTATTGGAAGGATTTCACGCAGGCTTGATGAAAATTATGATTTAATGCTAATTTTCACGAATTTTGTATGCAGTCTGTCAACATTATCATCATCATGCAGTGGCGACACCTGCGTGGAGCTTTTGCGGCAATCTTCCAATTGTGGCGGCAGCATGCCGATGCATGCTACCCCAATAATCAAATACCATAAACGAACGATAGCCCATATGGTAGCACTATTCCACAAATATTTTGGATGATACTCCAAACACGTCGTTAAGCACTGTTTTATTGATATTTTGATTAGAATACTTCAATAAATTGTGTATGGTTATTTTGCTTAACGACTTGTTCGGGGTTTCATCCTCGGTTTCATCCAAAAAATTTATGGAATGGTTCCATCATTTCAGTTACCGTTAGTTTATTGTATTTTTTCATTAGTGTAGTTAGGCATGTGACATCCAGGCATGGAAAATCATTTACATTAATTTCGTGCATTCATTTACATTCATTTACCTCTAACTTTTTTACCAACAAAATTCCGTAAAATGATGTATGAAATTTGTGTAGGTTTAAGTTTAACTAAAACTTATTTAAATTACACAAATCTGTATCTCTTATGCATGACGAACTAGAGTGTGCAGAAATTGTTGTTGTTTTTCAGTGAATGTAACTGAAAAACAATGGTGGGTTCTGTTCGCTCTGATTCATCATACATAAGAGATACAGATTTTAATGGTTGACAAAAGTTGTAGCTCATTTTAAAACCTACAAAAGCTTCATACATTATTTTACAAAATTCTGGTAATGAAAAAAGTTAGAGGCAAATGAATGTAAATAAATTTAAATTAAGTTCCATGCCTGGTGACTTCCTTATACCGCGTTCACATTACAGCCTATATCACTTAATATAGCCTGTCTTGAAATGAGCACTCATACATAGGATTTCCAGTGAAAACTAGATGTATGAGTGCTCATTGCAAGACAGCGTATATCACGTGATATACGCTGTAATGTGAACGGGGTATTAAAAAAAACTATACCGAAATACCTAAATAACACTTAGGAAGAAAAGTAAGCAAACTAATACCACCATCGGAAAGGGGAGAATTTCCCCTTCCCAATGATATTGTTGGTTTGCATGCATTGGAGCAAGAAAAAATCTTAAGAAGTTCATAATACCCCGTTCACATTACAGCGTTTATCACGTGATATACGGTGTCTTGCAATGAGCACTCATACATCTAGTTTTCACTGGAAATCCTATGTATAAGTGCTCATTGCAAGACAGCCTATATTACGTGATATAGGCTGTAATGTGAACGGGGTATTATACCCCGGACAGACTATGGCTTATATCATGTAATATAGGCTGGCTTGCAATGAGCACTCATATATAGGATTTCCAGTGAAAACTAGATGTATGAGTGCTCATTGCAAGCCAGCCTATATTACATGATATAAGCCATAGTCTGTCCGGGGTATTATACACCTATAATCCTTTAATTTTCCCAAGCGTTGAAAGACGAGTGTTCAACACACAGGCCTCGCAATCTCATCGTCCATGCTTCATTTTATTATTTTTTTGTCATCATTATTTTTCATAAGGCAAATCAGTGAAATTCATACTGATTTATTGTGGCTAATACCCCGTACAGACTATGGCTTACATCATGTAACATAGACTGTCTTGCATTGAGCACTCATACATCTAGTTTTCACTGGAAATCCTATGTATGAGTGCTCATTGCAAGACAGTCTATATTACATGATATAAGCCATAGTCTGTCCGGGGTATAAAATTCATAAGCGGATCTTATGGAATTCTTACGTCCATTTGCCTCAGTGTTCGAGTACTTCGGTTCGCGTGAAATGGGATGCTCTACTTTTGTGCCGTTTTCAAATGCTACGCGAGATATTTCGCAACTTTCCGATCTATTCATATAAAATCGCACAGTCCTACCGTTGTGAAAAATAGTGTGAAGTCAGATGAAAATTTCCACGCACTTTCGCCCCCATTCCCTATTCTGTCAAAACAAAAAGGCCACCATCGAGCGCGTATTAAAAGTATCGTGTTTGTGCAAAATTATTGTGTTCAATAATTTTCCGAAGATTTCTTTCCAGAAATCTAACATTCACCTAGTTTAGAAAGTGTACGTGCAGTCACCTTGTCCTTGGAACATCCCGCTAAACAGCACCGTAGCCATGGGAACGAAGCGCAAGGCCGAAGACGAGATCCTTGAAATTCCCAGCGACGACGACGATGGCGATGATAGCGACGTTCAGATCCAGGAAAAGCCAATCCTCATAGTTACCGTGGATGATGACGATGCATCTCCAAAACAGAACCCATCACATTCCACACCGTTGAGACGAACCCCCGAAGGTGAGGAATCCAGACATAACAGTAGTAGCATTTCCCTCGCAACGCCTCCCCCTCCTCCTAACATAAGTAATCGAACGGAATCGAGCGAAAAGCTGGAAAAGCATCCCATCCCAGCGGAAAAGATGAATGATAACTTGCTGCTGAGTATGAAGTTTCGGGATCAGGAACTGTTCGACCTGTTCAAAGGTTCACTTACGGAATACCTCAAGACAACGTTTCAGCTTAAGATGGGCGGGGAAGAGGTGGAAGTTGTTCAACAAGCGGATCTAGTTTCCCTTCAGGTACTTACCAAAAGTCATCGCCAGGTTTCGTCGGCACCGTCGGCTTTAGCGGAATGCGTTACACCGCTGCTGAAAGTGGAAAATACTGACGCGAAAGACGATACCGATGGAATGTTCGTCATAGATTCAACACCGGCCAAAACGGCCAAGGGAGGTCCGATCATTCCCAGCTACAAGAAAGCTCTTCAAAAGGTACTGGACAATTCACCTTCAGCAGCGGCAGAAAGTGCCACCAAGAGACCGAAACCGAGGCAGCTCTGTTGGAACTGTGACGGCGACCATGGGCTAAAGGATTGTAAGGAGCCACGGAACTTTGCCAAAATCGATAAGATGAAGCAAGCGTTCATGAAAACAAAAGACCGATACCACGTGGATCTGGAGCAGAAGTATGGACATATCGTACCTGGTCGAATGTCGACTGAGTTGCGCCAAGCCCTCGGTTTGAGTAAGTTGCTGATGGTGTGGTTTTATCGGAAGCCAAGCTAATCGATTTGATTTGTTACAGGAAAACGAGATCTTCCGGTGCACATTTACCGTATGCGACTATACGGTTACCCTCCCGGCTGGCTCGAGGATGCAATAATTACCCACTCCGGACTGCAGCTGTTCAATTCGAACGGAAACGCCGTTCAGGACTCGGACGAAAGCGATGGCGAAGTGGACAATGTCAAGCTGAAGTACGACGTCCGAAAGATTATCAGCTTTCCCGGTTTCAACATCGATTCGGGCGATGGTTATATTGATAATTCTAAGTTTTACGGTGTTCCCCCACGAATGGGTCATCAGAGCCGGGACGAAATGATCAGGAATCTGGAGGGAACGCTTGTGCAAGGGTATCGGAGGAAAAAACTACGACTGGAGAGTACTGAACATGCGGATACCGATCGGGATCCAGCCGATATGGATTTGGACAACCAAGAGGACAGTTTTATGACAGTGGACTCGGTGGGCGATTGCGACAAGTTGGAGCGTATCTGCGCCGATAGCCAGTCAAGTTCACTGCCATCGTTTAACGGAAGCGTTACCGGTCGGCCGAAGGTGGTGGATGATGAACCGGAAGAAGGAGAGGTCGACGATGAAGAGGAACAGCAACAACAGCCGAATAGGAACGGAAATGAGAAAAATTACAATGACGACAGCTTGATACTGGTGGAGGAGGAGACGGAAGTGATCTGTTTGGACGTAAGTAACGAAGATTTTTTTTAAGTTTCAGGTTTTTTGTAGAAGCTATCATGTATATTTGTGATCTGTTTTCGAGTGCTGATCAAATATATAAGATTTTGTTCAGATGTACTTACAGTCGTGTGGTTATGCTTTCGCTGGTGAGCCCTGCTTTTAATCATAACCGTAAACGTTAACCGCCATAATTCTGCGCTGTGCCTAATTCCGCGCATTCGGAACAAAACGAAAGATTTGTGTCAATCAAACGGTAAATTGAGTCTAATTTGTTACGAGTTTCATTGCTTGTGGTTTCAAAATGAGTGCTACATAAAATACAGGAAGCTATAAATATTCCGTGTTTTGTAGAGAAAAATTATTGCAAATGCGCGTCTTTACTTTATGCTTCTGTGGCCTAGTGAGTGGTTATGCTATGTTATATTTTCGTTCCAAAGCCGTGATTCTTTTTGAAATATGGTACGCATCCTTTATGGACAGGTGTGTTTAAAGTATTTGAACAATTATTTGAATTCAAACATGCATATAAAGTGAATTACAAAACAAAATCTCATGCGCGGAATAAGGACACTGATTTTTTTTGCTCGTAAGGCGGAATCGGTCAGATCACGACGCTTTTATCAAATTGCATGTTAGTGTCCGTTATTCCATATGGTTCAAAACCTGTCAAAAATCTAATGTTAAAAATTATACACCCTTGGTTTTTTTTATCGAGCTCGGCTGTGCAAATTTCGGCAAAAAAAGTTTTACTGAGATCTCAGCAAACATTTCATTTGTTTGCTGAGATTCAGCTAAGCATTATTCGAGACTCAGCAATCAAATGAAACTTATTTTTGCCGAGGTTTGCACAGCCGAGCTCGGTAGAAAAAACTCAGTATATTAAATAATTTTTACTGGTTACCAATTGGCATAAATAAATGGATCTAGCTTCCACACAAACAAACCTTAATTAAATTAAAATTGTTTACCGTTAATGAGTTTTACCTCTACAACAGTAATGATTCCAGAAATGATTCAATAGTTCAACTCTAGCTGCAACCTGAAAAATACCCGCTGATGCGCACTTGTCGAATGATTTTTTACAAAATGGCGATCATGCAATAATCTATGAAGACGACGGTTAGCAGTGAAATAGTAATCGTTTTGTTTTCCAACCAATCAGCATTTCTTTTGATGTTACCATATTCACAAGGAACATGGTAAATTTGACGTATTTTTTGACCATGAATGTTATTAACAATACTTCATGAAATTCTATGGGGAGCATAGTAATTAACTTAACAACATAATAGAATTGAAAGACATATCGGTTAATTTTACTATGAGCTGTCATGGTATAATTAAACACATTTCAATTGTACGTGATACCATACTATTTTTATCAAAGTACAAATACTGTTCAAAGATCGATGTTTAGAATTAAATTCCAAAAATCACTTTTCCTGGCAGCACTGCCGGTGTGCCAATGAAAGTCAGATTCCAAACTGAAATAATTTCGGAGTTGATTGTCTTATCGACTTGGTATATTCAAACTATTGAACTATTCAAAAACAATTTATTAATCTCATATGCAAAGTTGAAAGAGGGGGAGGGGGGAGGGTGCCACGCCCCTCTTACTCATAGCAATAGAAGTAAAGTTTCAAACTGAAATAACTTCGGAGTTTCTTTAAAAAAAAAAAACTATCAATCTCATAGTCATAGTTGGAGAGGAGAGGGACCTTACTATACCCCGCCCCCACACTCATATTAATGGAAGTTAAGCTTCAAACTGCAATAATTTCGGTGTTTCTGATTTTATCAAGTTGGTATGTTCAGATGTATTCAAAAACATTTGCTCCGCCAAAAACATTTGGCGTAGTTGGATATGGAGATGGGCTTACGGAGTACCTTCCGCCCTTCACTTATATAAATGAATGTAAAGATAAAGACTAAAATAACTTCGGAGTTTCCCATCTCTCGAGTTGTTTGGGTATTCAAAAATACTTGCTCAATCTCATCAGAGCAATTTGAAAGTGAGTGATAAAGTCAGAAATTAGCTTCACCCCTCGGTCACCATCACCTTCACCATCAATGAAGCAACTCGTTGTTTCGCATTGAAATAATCTGTGTCATTACCAGGGCCCCACGAAGTCACTTTAAATCGAAAATCGTCAAGCGACGATGAAGCTATCGACCATCACTTTCAATTGAAAGTCATTCTGTCTTCTCTTCGAGCATATCCCCTTCAACATCAACAGAACCAGTTTCGATCAGTTTTCATGCGGTTTGTTTTGGCTTGACTAGTCTTCATTTCTTCTTTCATTGTCAAATGAACTTACTTTTGCATTGAAGCGAAGCTGTTTGATCCAAATTCGTGCAGTTTTATGACTTTTGTTGTTTGTTCACTCGGTTCATTTTTAAGCGTATGCGCATAGATCTGTGCACGTGGATGCCAAATTTATCATTGTCGGGTGGTTTGTTTACCCATCAAAATGGGTACTTTTTGAATTGGGGTGACGCCTAGAGATCGAAAATTGATATGCGACGCTATTTTGAAATCCAAGATGGCAGCTTCCAGTTTAAGAAAAAGTGGGAAATACTGTCAAATACTTATCAATAAAGCTATTTTGGGGATCTGGATGATGTCTAGAGGATGAAAATCGATATCCGACGCCATTTTGAAATCGAAGATGGCGGCTTCCGATTTACGAAAAAGTGGAAATATAGTCAAATACACATCAATATAGGTATTTTTGTAATCGGTATGAAGTATACAGATCAACATTGATAAGCAATGTCATTTCGAAATCCATGATGGCTTCCGATTTCTGATTAAGTGGGAAATACTGTCAAATACCCATCAATATAGCTATTTTTGGAATCGGGATGGCATCTAGAGGCCGGAAATCTATAGCCGACGCCATTTTTAAATCCAATATGGCTTTCCACTTCAGAAAAAATGGGAAATGTTAATGCCGTCCCATCAATATGGGTATTTTTGGATTCGGAGCGACGTCTGGAGAATGGAAATCAATATCTGACGCCATTTTGAAATCCATGATGGCGGCTTCCGATTTGAGAAAAAGTTGTAAATTCTTTCAAATTACCCATACAAACGGTTTTTTTTAGAATCAGGGTAACGCCTAGATGTGGAAAAGTGTCAAATATCCTGTCTAGAAAACCAAGATGGCGGCTTTGGTTCAGAAAAACTTTGAAATACGGTCAAATACCGATCAATGTGGGTTTTTTTTGGAATCGGGATGACATCTAGAAGAAAGAAATCGATGTCCTACGCCATCTTGAAATTCAAGATGGTGGCTTCCGATTTCAAAAGAAGTGTCAAATAGCCTACAAATGGCATCGAATATCGATTTTCAGCATCTACGCGTCGTCCTCGTTCCGAAATACCCAGATCTTAGGGTATTTGACACTTTTTGTGAAACCTGATGGCCGCCATATTGGATTCCAAAATGGCATCGGATATCAATTTTCGGTATTCACACGTTGTCCCCATTCCGAAAATATCCATATTGTAGGGTATTTGACACTTTCTGAACCCTGATGGCCGCCATATTTCCAAAGTGGTATCTGATATCGATTTTTGGCATCTACGCGTTGTCCCCGTTCCGAAATTAACCATATTGAGGGTATTTAACACTTTTTCTGAAACGCTTTGGCCGCCATATTGGAGTCCAACATAGCATCGGATATCATATCTTAGGGTATTTGACACGTTTTATGAAACTTGATGACCACCATCTTGGATTCCAAAATGGCATCGAAAATCCCCGTTCCGAAAATACCCATATTGTAAGATAGTTGACACTTTCTGAATCCTAATGGCTGCCATATTGGATTCCAACATAGCGTCGGATATCGATTTTTGGCATCGACGCGTTGTTCCCGTTCCGAAAGTAAACATATCTTAGGGTATTTGACACTTCATAAAACCAATGGCCACTATCTTGAATTCCAAAATGACGTCGGATATTGATTTTCAGCATCTACGCGACATGCCCGTTCCGAAAATACCCTATTGTAGGGTATTTGAGACTTTCCCCGACCCCAATGGCTGCCATCTTGGACTCCAGAATGGCATCGTAAATTTAATTTTCGTTTAATATAAAATAATATAGTATTACCATAGAGGTAACTCTAAGACCAGAAGGTCCCGAAGAAACGAGCTCAACTTTTTGGCTCAGCTCTGGTACTATCTTCGGTCCCAAGCTAATCGATTCACCCCTCGAAACATATGAAAATCCACTAACCCCTCATTTTATCTGTCAAACTTCCATAGCGAATCAAAACAAACATAGTGTAGTACTGGAATTTATACTAGAATGGGCTACGTTAGTCGATTTGCTTGGGACCAATAGGCTAGTCAAGTAGTGAGCCAATTTTTTCGATGGTTTCGAATTGATTGTTGGTATTACTACATATAATCCGGATGCCATCCCTATCGGCAACCGATATTGTGCGGATACTATTCGGATACTACATTTTGATGCCTGCGACGTCAAGTCGTGAATAGTCGAATGAGCCCCGAATTGATGTGAAAGTGGAAAAAACGAAGTTTTCGAGTCATTCATTGCGTTAATTGAAACGAGTCTTTGCTTCAAATGAAATGAACTGAAGCACTTGTCGAACGAAACAAGTCATGTTTAAAAAGAGGAATGTTCATCTTGACTCGATAACAAGAAACACGATGACTTACACGAAAATGATATTGCTCGAAATGAAGCGATTCTGCGGAGAGTTCATTTTCTTTTCTTTGTTTCGAAAATGCAGAAACCTGCTACTGCACTCCGGTTTTGGCATGAATTCGGTCGAAATTTTGAAAAGGAATCAGCACTTTCAGATGTTACGCTGGACTTTGATTTGGGTGGGCTACAGCCCAACGTAGCCCACTTGAAGATAGTCCAACGAGTGAAATCCGACTGAATTTTCTTTGTCTCCTGCTTTTGGTTTTTGACGTAGGACTACGTATGTGTTTTCTATATGGGAGCATATTTCAAATAAAAGCTTAA